TTATAAATCTTTTTTGACCCGTATTTGAACAGAAACAGTACAAAGGCAAGGTATGTAATGTTTAATCTTATTAACTTCGATGGTTTTTGTAAATGTCTGCAACACATTCCCAAAAAGTTGGGACAGGGGCTAGAAACATTGTGACTAGAAACATTGTGAAATGTTCAAAAATGTCTTTGTTTTGGTGTAAAAGGAGCATCCAACAAAGGCTTAGTCCTTTATGAGCAAGAATGGGTTGAGGCTTGCCATTTTGCCAAAAATACATCAGCAAAAAATCCAATATATATTAAATATTTGTTAGATTGCCAGTATTTTAGGTATTTCACCCTCCATGATGCAATACATCATCAAAGGATTCAGGGAATCTGGAGAAATATTTGTGGCTAAAGGACAACCAACCCGCAAATGAATGCTTATTACCTATGACCCCTCAGAATGCATTAAAAACTGATATGTTTTTGTGATGGCGATCACCACATGGGCTCAGCAGAACAGGATAAATGTTGTCAAGAAACACTGTCACTGAATTCACAAATGCAAGTTAAGACCGTACTATGCACAGCGGAAGTCATATGTCCAGAAACACTGCCGACTTCTCTGGGCTTGAGTCTGTCTGAAATGGACTGTTGTACAGTGTAAACGTGTATTGTGGTCTGACAAGTCAATCTTTCAGACTTTTTATGGAAATAATGAATATTGTGTTCTCTAGGCCAAAAAGTGCGGGAGCCAGTCTGGCCTTCCTGCCAAAAATGCTGTACTTGAGTTTGTAGAATATGTGCTAAATTATATTTTGTATACATTCAACAAAAGTGTCATTTCACCAGGAGTGTTCACACTTTTGCTTATGACTACAAGAGAAGAAAAAAAAAAAGTTGTTAACTTTTAATATAAGCTATGGACATTTTGGACCACTTGTTTTGGTCCATCCATTCATAATGAAATGTTCAATCAATGTAGATGGAAGCTGGCATTTTCAAATCATGTATAAAAAACAAAAATGGAGATATATATATGTTTTTTTTGACATATATAGGTGTCAACCTATATGGTTTACCCACATAAAATACTTTTTTCATAATATTGGCGGTGTGTGTTTGTTTTGGGCTGGGATACGGTCTGTTACAAGTTATACAGTGGTGTGAAAAAGTGTTTGCCCCCTTCCTGATTTCTTATTCTTTTGCATGTTTGTCACACTTAAATGTTTCAGATCACCAAACAAATTAGACAAAGATAACACAAGTAAACACAAAATGCAGTTTATAAATGAAGGTCTTTATTATTAAGGGAAAAAGAAATCCAAACCTACAGGGCCCTGTGTGAAAAAGTGATTGCCCCGGCCACCTTAAAATGTAAATTAACTGTGGTTTATCACATCTTTGGAAACCTGAGTTCAATTTCCCTAGCCACACCCAGGCCTGATTACTGCCACACCTGTTCTCAATCAAGAAATCAAGCAAGCAGGACAATGATCCAAAACACACCAGCAAGTCCACCTCTGAATGGCTTAAGAAAAACAAAATTAAGACTTTGGAGTGGCCCAGTCAAAGTCCTGACCTGAATCCAATCGAGATGCTGTGGCATGACCTTAAAAAGGTGGTTCATGCTCGGAAACCATCCAACGTGGCTGACTTACAACAATTCTGCAAAGATGAGTGGGCCAAAATTCCTGCACAGCGCTGTAAAAGACTCATTGGCAGCTATCACAAACACTTGATTGCAGTTGTTGCTGCTAAGGGTGGCCCAACCAGTTATTAGGTTTAGGGGGCAATCACTTTTTCACACAGGGCCCTGTAGGTTTGTATTTCTTTTTCCCTTAATAATAAAGACCTTCATTTATACACTGCATTTTGTGTTTACTTGTGTTATCTGTCTAATATTTAAATTTGTTTGGGGATCTGAAACATTTAAGTGTGGCAAACATGCAAAAGAATAAGAAATCAGGAAGGGGGCAATCACTTTTTCACACCACTGTAAGTAGGTTACGAGTTGCACGTGTGGTGCGAGTCTCTGTTGTTGCATGTTGTTCTGTGGAGAGAATGGAGACTCGGGTATCAATGAAATGAGAGCTTTGGGAATATGAATGCATTTTAAACAATACAAACTGAGAAATTAGGTTGATCACAGCTCCAACAATAAGGATCCTGAGCTGTTCGAGATCATGTTTAGGATCAGATGTGTGTCAGCCGAAACCTTGTTAAAGTGATACAGCTGTATACTGTAGCTCGACTGCTGTAGTCTCTATATGCTCACATTCATGTTACCATTCAGTTATTTTTAGTGCTTTTACTTTCTCTGGATGACGTGATTATATCTGTATCCTATGTGTTCCGTCAGAGAGATGTTAGAAATTTCAGCATATCAATTTACCTGTTAAATCATATGTACCATTATCACCTCTTAAAATCGCTTTCAAAGCTCCCCTTCAGTTTCCAACCTCTTTGAAGCTGAACGACTGATAAATTTAGCATGGAACTGCCAGGCCTTCAAAGCTTGGGTCACTGTGAGGTAGATTCATTTTTTTTTAGTATCAGTGCACATGAATATGCCTATGTGATACACAGCTTGTCAAAAGTTTGGGGACACATAGCTTTTCAAAATGTTTTTAAAACAAGTAAGTAGCTTTTCCTTCTTCATGTAGAATAATTACAATAATTTGCACACGTTTTATTCCCTTGCTGTGATGCAATTGATTTTTTCATTAAAAATGTATTTAATTTACAGCATCTTGTAACCACTATTATCAACAAACACAGTGTAATTATGTTTCAAAGGAAGGCAGCGTGTTAGGTGTTAAGAGTTTTTCCCATGACAGCCAAACTACCCTAAAAAGGGTTTGAACCCTGCTCTCCAGCGTAAAAGGCCACAGTGTTATTAAAATGCCGTAATTCCTGTTCTTTATAATTAAAACATGGTTTAGTAAGTTATTAGTGCCTCATACTGCTGTTTGTTTGGTTGTTGTTCATAATGACAAAATAACAGAATGTGATGCTTTCTTAGAGATTAGAGATTATCAGGGCTTTATTGGTGTGATTTCCAGCGGTGTAGTAAAGCGCATCTGTGACAGGTCAGAGCTACTAAGGGGAAAAACCATGGGGGGTCCTTAAGAGCGATGAAGCTTATGGACCCAATCCAACCCATGAGCTCTATTCCCAGGGCGAGACTAAGCTGAGCCTCACCATCTTTGAGAATGGCATTGTTAAACACACCGACCAAGAGGGCGAAAAGGCAGGGGCCCTCTGGGGTCTTCCTCTGCACGTGCCTGTTATGATGTGAGCATTTATCAACAATTAAACCTTTCAGGTGTTTAAAATGGCCTTTGGGCTGAAAGACATTCAGTATGTGCTTTTAATAATAGTTTTGAAAAGAAAACTGTCAAATATCATTATTTATGTAAAACCTACACTGTAAAAAAATGTATATTTAAATGCAATCTACTATACAATTCAGCATAATTTAATATTCATTTCACATTTTTGAAAACAATAGTGTAGTTGCTGTAAAGTTTTGTCTATTATTTTACTGTTAAATCACTTGTTATCCAAAAATACTTTACTATTACATGATGGTGGTTTGACAACATGGCAGTATTTGTACAAGAATTTGTCAATAAAATGTAAAGACTTCAACCAAAAAAGGATTTACATTTACATGTAATGTACTGTGTAACTTTGTGTTGCTTAACACGTACATCATATAACAGTTTAACAGCTGTAAATCTACACTTAATGACAATTATTCAAGTTTTCTTTATCACTTTATGAATGAAACCCATGTAAGGTCAGTCTCGGTCACTGAAAAAAACCTGGACGCAGAAACAGACTCACAACCATGTGGTGGAAGTGTCTAAGAGTTTGTCTCAGCATCAGGAGGTGAATTTGAATCCCGGTGATGCCAACTTTGGCCAGTAGACTAAAAGAGTATGTGCTGTAAGATGTAGGAAGTCCTAACTCATAGGTGAGAATTGACTAAATTCAGAGGAGAAAACTGGTTAAAAGAGAAGAATTAACACTTTGAACTATTTATTGTTAACAGTTTTCTACTGACAGCTTTACTGCTAGACTTTTGATCGCTTTTCAGATTGCATTTTTTTTGTCATTCTTAAAAATTCTAGGTTAATATTTGGCATCCTGTGCTGCCAGCTTTTTTCCTAACAAGGAAGATGCTTTTATGAACATGAAGCTGCATAAAACAGTTAGCAGTAGCATGAGTAAAAAGCTATGTTTACAAAATTTTTTTGTATATTATGTATTATGTATATGTAACAGAAACAACGTTCAATATATCAAGAAAAGGTAAGCAGCCCTCAAGCTTTTCACAGTCGTTGCACAATTTATTAAAGCAAATCAAATTGAATTAACACTCAATGGGTCAGTTTCCCAAATTTTGAAAGGAATTACAGTCCCTGGAAAATATATCTATATATATATATATATATATATATATAGCCTTTCTGTCATAACAAAACCTAATATCTCAGAAATGGTAACGTTATAGGAGAAGACAACTTTAATACACAGTAAAATAATATAATAAGATTTTAATTCCGAGTGATTCTGGACTATTTGTATTTGTCCATTCATCATGACTTGTTAACACAATGCAAAGAGCAGCTGAGTTATGAGATTTTGACATAACAGCAACAATAATTTGTAGTTATCACTGTATTTGTACAGTTGTATGCAAAAGTTTAGGTGCCAAATTACATTTTGTTGATTTTCCAAGTGAAGACAAGGAAATATCCTCTACAGAGAACACACTTCTCCATATATTAATGCACATTTACTGTTTATTTTCTAAATTTAACATATTTTTTGGGTGGGAGGGAATAAAACATAGAAGATAATAGATAGAGATTGTGCACTAAAACAGGGCAGCTAATCAGCACATATATTATTACACACAGTCGTATTCAAAAGTGAAATTACATTTTGTTGTTTTTGATGTTTGATGAAAATGAACAGGCACAAATCTAAAATGTTTTTAAAAACATTACGGCACATTTTATACTTTGTGTTTTATTTTTTTCGAATATGTTAAACTCACAAGTGACACAAGTGTAATGCCTATAGAGGATGTGTTCATTTATTTTCACTTAGAAAATCTCCAAAACATGTAATTTGACCAGAGGTGTTCAAACGTTTGAATACAACTGTATAGCTATAATTTTAACTGTGTTCTGTTAATTATATGTTATGTTAACAAAATATATATCAGATTGTTTCTGCATGAAACCTAACTAACACTTACTGGTGCTACTTATTGCTGCGTTGACCACACTGGCCCAGTAGGGGCTGGCTGGCTGGCCGTTAGCCATGCCGTTAGTGGAAGCAGGGCTTCCAATAACCATGTTAAAGGACGTTGATGCCTTTAACCACAACACATTTTAGAAGCTGTAGAGCGGATGAGCCTCCTGATGTATACTGCAGCTATCCCAATAATCATAATGCAGATGAACACCACCATGCCCACCACCACGCCCAGCCCAGCAGAGGAAGCAGAGCTAGTCTGAGTGCCAGATGTGTCTGAGAAGGATACATACAGAGAGTAATAATCAAAGTTAGGAGAATACAATCTTCAAGCAATGTGGCTGCAAGGAGGGATCTCTTTAGTTGATGGTTTGTAAGATAGCTTACCTTGCACATTCAATGGCTGAGCTACAAGAAAAGAAAACAGGAGAGTTACCCAATAAATTTCTTCACAATTTTCTTAAATAGGTCATTATGAAAATGCATGAACAACATGTTAGTTGAATGAAAGTTAAGCCACTCAAAAAGATTCTGGGTGACAAAGACTTCCATATTTTGTTAGTTCTAACCAAGGAGTTATCAAACTACAGCGATAATCGTCCACAAAATTATGTATGAGGATATTTAGGTAGTCAGCTGAGGGGATATTGGTGCCCACTTTATCTAAACATAAAAGGAGACAGGCTTTAATAAAAGTAAACAGTGTAAAAACTTATTTATACTCAATTTTGAGTCTGAATTGTATAGACATTTTTGTCAAGTTATGAAAATGCGCACACGCCTATTAAGGCCGTCTTTCACATGAAGTCATAAATTTATGGACTGCAATGCTGCGTAAAACGTTTCATCAGAGCCAGCTCAATTTTTTGCATTGTATAGATGCATTATAATCAGGCTGACCAATCAGAACTTAGTTGTCATGGTTGCAGTCCACGCAAATGTGCACCAAGATGGGCTCCCTGTTGTTTGTTCGCTCGTTTTTAATAATAGGAGCTCAGAACAGAAGCTGTGCCTCAAATTCCCCCACTGATATATAAAAATACTGTTGGAATCGCTCATTATTTGGGCTCAGCTCTTGTGCAAGGTGGTGGGTTGAGTGAATGGGTTGTACCAAATGCTTAAATGGCCCGTGTCCTGCGTTCGTCTTGGATTACATATTTTTCCCTCTAAAGTCCACTTATGACGTACATGTTTCTATGTACCAATATTAGTGATAATTCAAGGCATATGAGCTTCAGATTGATGTCATATGGTTTTTGTTTTTGTGTTGTTAAGGCCTCATCCACACATCTCTGGATATTTTTGACAGTGTAGTTTGTTTTTCTGCAGTTTGGGGTTCCGTCCACAAAAAAGTGCTGTTTTCGCTCACTGAAAATTCTCTCCAGGGTGGAGATTTTTAAAAAATGTTTTCACATCATGCTGTTATCAACTGTTTTCATTAATTAAGTAAGCAGAACTCTAAACTGAAATATGACTGATGACTGGGTTGTATGGAGTTCACATACCTGTGATTCTAAAGATATATGACCTGATGATTATTAACCAAAGTCAGATTTGAAATAAATCCAAACTTCATATTTCAATAGAGTGTAAATCTAGAAAAACTCTGCTGCCCAGCCTGATTGGGACTGTGTAGACATTTTAGAGAGGATGGAGTAGCCATGGCAACATAAACAGGGTTATTTTTTTTTATTTATCTGTGTGAAATATCAAATTATGAAGGTCTGACAGTCTGCAGGTCAAGGTCTGCAAAGACTTAATTCACACATACTGTCTCTGCATGGCGTGACTCACTGGCACTGGCCTTTCATAAACACAGCGTTTGCGCTGCAGATCGGAGCAGAAAGTAAGTTACAGAGCCATTCTTTATCCAAACTGATAGTCAAATCAGTTTCTCTGCTCATTAAAATTTTCAAAAAAGGGCAGTACATTTTTTAAACTAAATTAAAGAATTTGCAAATAAATAAAAGATTTTCTGTTTAATTTGCATTGATTTTCATGGCTTATTTAAGTTTCTTTTGCTGTTTGGCATGTGCAGAAAATATCACCTCTTTACAGGCAGCGCAAACAAAGCAGCAGAGCATTCCAGACCTAGAGATTCTGCAGCACCTCAGTCTTTAAGTCTGGAACGCTCTCACACTTTGCTCACACTGCCTGTGTGAAAATGCTGACCTATTAACGTAAGTGCTGAAATGAAAATGAAGACATTCCATGTTGCTCACACCACACAGCAGTAGTATGCATGATTCAGGTCTAATATGCCACCATCATGTTAAAAAATCTCTGCTCACAATGTTCCTATTAAGGTGTATAACATCAAATATTATGGACTATCATGTCCCCTACTGGGCCGGCAGAGTTGTGCGAGTATTTTTCCGAGTCATTTTTGTGTCCTTGTGTGGACGTAGAGATTTTTGAAAAACGCTGCTGGTGCAGACATAAACATTTTTGTAAACGGAGGGAACCAGTAGATTTTTTTTAAAAAATATCCAGTTATGTGTGAACTTCTGTTCCGATTGGCTGTTCTGTATTGTGCCTCATTCAGAAAGCTGTCCAAGCTGAGGCTAAACTGCTGTAAGCTAATGTAGGCATATCTATGTAAATATGTGGTAACACTTTGTTTGAAGCCACCTACACAGGCACTTTATAACACATGCATAAGCACTGAATTACATACTTAGAAAAGCAATACTTGAGTATTTATGAACAACTTATATCAGTGTTCACAAGATGACATAAGATCTTCCATCAAGTATATTACATTGTAAGGGGCCTTACATTAAAGTGATGGACATTTGCTCCTTTCATAAGACTGTTATGAGGAACTGATAAGACAGAGGTCTAGGTAAGATCACCTAACTGAAGTGATTCATGAACATTTATATGAAATGATTAGGTGAGGTCATCAGAGTCATCCATAAAACTGATTTATAATGTTCTTAATTAGGCTTCTGTCTTATAAGTTCGGTTACATGAAAATGCTGCTTCATAATAGTGTTAGAAGCTATTTTAGTGTAAGGCCTCTTATGTCAATATAATGTCACTTCATAAAACATCTAATGTCTCCTTGTGAATAATGACATAAGCTGTTTATCAACAGTCAAGTGTACCTTTTAAAACTTTTTTTATGCATATGTAATGAAGTCCATACGTAAGTAGCCTTCAAATAAAGTGTTATCTAATGTTTTGGTTTTTGTAACATCACAGAAACAGTATATATGGACTGTATATACTGGGGAGTGAACGCTACGTTAAGAAGCTTTGTTTACATGCTAAACAATATAAATAAAACAATGTTTACATGCTACATTAAACTCTTCTGTATGAAGGAAGTAAGAAAAAGGGTGTTTTTCTATGATATGGGCCCTCTGCACCTGATGTGAAGGGGTTAAAAATCATATCTATTTTTGTAAACTTTAGACCAATACAGTCATTTATTACAGCGCATATCTGATACTTCATCAAAGAATATGTACTTTTACTTTGGTAAGCACTATATATTTTCTGTCAATTTTTCATTGACTAAATTAATACAAGATTAGTGTTGAGGCTCTGTTTTTACTTTATTTTTGACCATTCTGGGTTTTTTGTATATGTGTATATGATTTGAATGTCTTACAGCTCTCTGTTCGGGTAATGATGGCAGGAGAGGTGAGGGTGGCAGACTCTGAGGCTCCATCTTGAAGAGAAGAAGCAGACCCCACGTCTCTCCTCTTTCTGCCATTGAGGCATAGCTGTGGGCAGATGGAGAATGAGCAGGTGAGAAGCACATAGGCTATGTAAGAACCATTGTACTGAATTAGTACAAACTGTAGTCCCACTGTAAAAAACATTATGTATTCAGATCTTAGATATTTACAAGGATTATGTTATAATCTGTTTAAACCCAAAACGTTAACTGAGATAGTAATGAGATAAAAATATACAAAATCGTCATTTATAGGGTACTTTCTACTGGAAGTTGGCTCTCCCAACCCTAACCTCTAAATTTCAACGAATAAAAATATTCCTTACACTTTTTTATGTATTTTATTTTTAAATTGACCATTTTTTAATTAAAAAAAAAACTTTATTAAAAAAATGCTCACCCACATTTTCACTACTGAAATACAAAGTGTTTTAGTCCTTAGGTGGAGCCTTATTTTACACCCCCTCCTTCATTTTAAAGCAGGAAGTGAGACCTGTTTTGAAGTAAATGTGTCCCAAAGTCTGAAAATCAGTGTGTAGCAGTAAAAATTGTCACTACCGAAACACAGATTGCCTGCAATTACGTTTTTTGTGTTCTAATACAAAATATTGGGCCTCATTCACCAAATGTTCTTAAGAAGAAATTTAAACCCACTTACGCAGTTTTTACGAAGATTCTGACATTTTGAGGTTTAACACATCATGAATCTGACATAGACTTTTTCTTGGGACCTTCTTCAGAAACAAATTTAGGAAAAAAACTTAGGAAAACACTGGTCAATGAGGCCGATTAAGATTTTATGTGTGTACAACTGTGTTTGCTACCAGTACACTGGGTAGCATTTTTGAGTTACGCGTCATCACTACCAAAACAGTCACTACTGAAACATCTGGAAAGGTTTTGGTAGTGTTACGATTGTTTGGGTAGTGATGAAATGAAGATTAAAGTTCAAGTTAAAAATCTGAAGTGTGTTCTGAACTCTGACTTTGAACCAGTTCAGTGGAAGGATCCATATATGCGAACGTGTCTGTCTGTTAATCTGCATAGGTGTGTTTAACTATAACTGACACCTGGCTAAAATGCGGTTACCCTGTATGTTCTGCAGATAGTCTTCTCACACAGACGTGTAATGCAGTGCAGGTAGTACGTGGAAATTGTCCTGTTCTGTTGTTCCGTGAAGCGGAAAGCAGGGAAGTAAAACCGTGCTCGATTACTCTCACCATTCTCAATCATGTTGGTCATCTCATCACTAAAGCACCTGTAAAAACACAGACACCAAGCATTTACAAAGCAATTTCTAAATGCTTAGACTGTAGATACCAAGAACAGTCAATGTGCCTTTAAATACGAATGTCTTAAAATGCTCAAAGGAACATGTTGCCTGACTTGCAGGCTGTGTTGGGGTTCTTGACATGTTTGACTCCCTTTCACAACACAGTCATCCACGTTTGGGTGGATTCTTCACCTAGAACTGCATTTAGCCTAGCACAAAGTTTAAATTGAACAGCATTGGTAGGACTTACTTCCTCTAACAACTATCACTTTTGCACTTAGTGTCACACCAAAAAACCAAACCTGACCTTAAAGGGGCCAAATGAAAAGTGACTGGTCAAAAAGGAAAATATAACTACCACTATGCTTAACTGCATCCTTCTGCAGTGCTACAGTAGTCACTAAAGTGAGATTGTCCAGTTTAAAGACTAAAGACTGACCCCCTTATGATGACACATGAGCAAGGGGGAAGAAAATTTTGAGGTGGCCGTTTGAAATCCAAATGCTTGTATTTATTAGCCAATAGATAAGCAGGTAATAAATACAACCACACCACAGGGTTTTTTTACGGGTTGTATGGCATATTTGTGTAATGCATTCTGGGTATTGTAGTGACAGAACATTAATGTTATGTACTTTATTGGTCCTAAAATGGAAATTTTGCTGCCTAACTATGCTCAACCTAGGAGTAGCACAGCATCGCCAACAGAGCAGCGCCACCTGGGGCAGTGGGGGGTTAAGTGCCTTGCCCAAGGGCACAACCAGGTATTTGAACCTGCAACCTTCCAGTTGATAGCTCACTTCTCCCACCACTAGGTTACTGGCCACCCAATGAACCAAAGCATGACAATGATTGATGAACTAAAACGTGAAAATGATATCAAATTGTGAGTTCTCTCAAACCCACAAGGCTGATGGATGCAGTGCTGCAGTACAGAATACTGTAGGACTTACCAAGCACTAGTTTTAGGCCAGCATGCCTGTTCAAAAGTTCACGTTATCTTTATCAAAAATATCTTTTGCAAAAAAAGTGAGTGAGAATTAAAGCTAATTAAGAGAACTTACGGTATAAAGAGGTTGTAGAAGGTAGCGTTGTCTGGGTTAAGTGACGTGGAGGCATAACACCTGTCCAGCAACACGAAGTACCTAAAGTGAAGCAAGATTTGTTCATGATTCAACGTACAAGATTTGAACTCATTGAGCTTAGCTCAGCAGAAACATAAAAGGATCAAAACCTGCTCTATAATTTTTTTTTTTATCAAAGTTTAAAGCCATAAAGAAAGGTCTTACTGGGTGGTGAGATTGGTGGCATGGACCTGCACAAATACATTGGTCCTCAGCTCGATCCCCAGTTGAGGGATGACCAGGGGTTTGGTGTAGTTTATATCCTAAAACAGAAGAGTGACATTATTTTGGTGGTTTCACACACAGAGTTCAGGTGACAAAGTTGTTGTATAGTATGCAAGTGCTGTTTGTATGTATAGCTCATATTCGAGTAACTCTTGGCTTGATGACATGTATAAAAGTATGATGCTGCTGAATTGCCTTACGCTGAAGAGCCGGAGGCTCAGCGTGCTGATGAAACTGCCATTGTTGTCCTTCACTGCGACAGAGGTTGAAGACCTGTTGACGAAGAAGTTTAATATTAGATCAGATCAGCAATGTACAAAGAAAAGAGGGAATTTTGTTAAACACAATAAACCATAAACCTAACCCTAACACAACCAATATTAAATCACTTACTGTCTGATCTTGAATCACTGAAGTGATCTAGTACTAGCCGTAGAGGACAGAGTGGTCAGAGAGCACTTCATTTGAGCCTGCTTCACTGCCAGACTGTGGAAATCAAGCCTCGGCTGAAGTCGGGTTCTAGAATCCTCAGGTCTTGCTGAGACGGAGAGGACTGCTTAAGAGGATCTTTCGACTAGATTTCTTCCAGGGACCTGCACTGCAGAGTGTATCGTCAGCTAAGCTACAGTAAGAGTGAAGTTCCGTCTTGCCAGTGTTTCGAGTTAAGCTGTGTAGAAGATGTGCTGCTTCCCAAATTTGCATTTATCTTGTAGCCATGTCCCCGCGACCCAGGAGGATAAGCGGCATAGATAATGTGCGTGCGCGCGTGTGTGTGTGTAGCCATGCTCTTCAGAAGTGGCAGCTACCGAACATAACTAGAAACACAATGGCCCTCATCAAAGTTGCACAAAAATAAAAATGCAGATTTGACCGCCTTCAGCGATAAGAGGTTGAAAATACTTTGCATCTGTTCAATGAAACTTTCAAACGATGTGGAAAACAGTAGCGATCACTAATAAGCTTCAGTGCATGAAATCAAGCGCCAGGTACCGGTACCTCATTTACATATCATTTACATGAAGCATGCCCTAGCTCACGCAGATGTTATGGTAAGGAGTCAATAAAAAAACAGCATTCAGCGCCTCATGAGCCAATACCTCGGCTCTTAGGCGCAGTTTGAGGTTCAGCAGAGAGTGCACTGCTCCCCCTACTGACCGGACTTTGTTACATTTTTGACGACAGGAGATAACAAAACGTGAAACAAAAAAAATGTCAGTAGAAAATGATGGTAGAATAATGTAATTGTACAGTGTGACTATTTTCCTAAACTAACATATGAAATGCTGTTTTACTGCAGTGTATAAGATGCTTCTGCAGTAGCTGTGTTGTTGTTTTGACAGTGTCATTGTTGCAAGCAAAATTACACTGTGATATGTCTTTAAATGGAACAATGAATAGTTGCAGCATTTGTTTATACCAAGTCCACTTTTGTACTAGACTGTCATGAGCACACATTATTAGTATTACTGTAATGTATTACACTATTTGTATTCTTATTATCAGTATTATAGATGATATTTATAATACTTTTGGTTAGTAAACCTTTAAATAAGCATTATATCATGTTCTAAAAGTATTAGACTCAAATTCACAAACACACCCACCAGACATAAATTTGGTTGTACAGATATGCCAGATATTAAACTGAAGAATAACAAAGCAGTGAAATTTGCCCAGATTTGACTGAATGCAACTCTTTTTAACATAACCTAGGAATCACAGTGTAGTGCATTAAATTGTATGTTAACGTATGTTCACATTTGGTTATTGTTTAGTATTTTCAGTTGAAGAGTTGCCCAAAACCTCTCAAATGAATGGGTGAGTAATAAGGCAAAAATACAAAATCATAATACTTTACACAATATAAATGATATGCAGTGCAATATTTAGTTTTTCTGAGTTGGAACAAAAAAGAACCAGCAGTGCCATATTAAAAGCACTTTAAAACTGAGTATAATTATTTTTACCCAGTGTTACACATATTGTACTGCACTAAATTCATTAACCAATTTACTAAGTCTAATTATGTTCTCTTTGTAATTAAACATGCAGTTGGTCATTGTTAAGTACTGACGATATCCACAGTATGCTGAGAAAGGTGTATTGTGGTGTGTTGTGATGTGATTTGATTTGTCATGATATAATAAAATATTATCCTATTGCCGACCCCTACTATACTGTCCTATTGTGACCGGATTGATTTCTTGAAATACATAGATACCTTTTATTTTTTTTTAAAGATGAATAAATGGGCCTCATTCACCAACCGTTCGTAAGAAGAAATTTCTTTTTTAAAAACCACTTGTGCAGTTTTCACAAAGATTGTGAACACATTAAAAATCTGATGTAGAGTTTTTCTTAGGACCTTTCTCAAGAACACATTTAAGAACAAACTTAGGAAGATGTTGGAGAATGAGGCCCAATGCTGTTTTTTTAAGGAAGAATAGGTAGATGAGCAGTACTTATTTACCACTTCAGCTACACTTAGCATGCTATAATTAAACCACTTTCAAAATCAGTTAGTAGAAAAGGTCCCTGTTGGTCAAATGGTGGTCCAGGCTTCTTGTCATACCCTATTTCTTTTTAAATAATTTCACAGTTTGTGCATTAACGTTCTTTGAGACTTTGACCACTCATTCACACAAAGGCCATCAATCCATGAAGTGCAGTGTCTATATTTCTGGATCTTTTTAGATTAGCCTAATGATTTTCTTGAAGTCCACAGAGAAATAAACTACTTTTAAACTCCTTTTCTCTCAATGCCAACCCTGTACTGTGGCATCACTAAAGAGTACATACCAGGAATATAATCCTTTACACTATACACTGGTTACTTTTGATTAGAGAGTAAAACTACTCTGACATGTGAGCATCTTCCCCCGTGAGTTCTATTTTTTGTCCTTGGTGCTGTGTAAGATAAGAGACATTGTTGTCAATCTGGAGTTCTTTTTTTATTATTATGCTGCTGAAAGAGGAAACACCATGAGGAATGCTTACACATCCATCTGTGTGTTGTTGATCAGGTACTCCAGAGGATAGGCACACGAGTAAAAGTACTTCAGCTCAGCATTATATGTCACTGTGCCTATTGTAGGGTCATACGATCGCACCACGCCGCTGATGTTCACTGTCTGGATGGTGGAAAAGTCGGAGAATATTCCAGTGCCTGGAGCGCTGGTGGTCTGCGGAGGAAAGCAGAACCAGAGACTTTTAGATTAATTTACTGATACAATCTGCGTTGCCTAAAATAGCTCTTTTGTTTGGACTCAAAACCATTGAATTCAGTCCATAAAGAAGAAGGAAGAGAGGAGAAGATAAATTCTCCTCTGTATGCCCTCATAAGAATAAAAAGATAGCCTTAGAATAATTCATTTTCTAGTGGTAATTTGAGCACCTTCGGGTTTATGGTTTTAAATTATGGAGGCATGGATATTTCCACACACTGATCTCTTGCTTCTCACAGAATAATTCTCTCCAAACATGAACAGCAAATCATTGATACATGATAGAGGAAGAATCACTATGAAAACTCAGATTACATTCATTTTACAATGATCATTGCACAAGAATGGTTTCGGTGATGAATAGATTGGAGAAGTGACACGTTTAACTTGGCAAGCCAGAGCGGGTGCACGGTTTGGATACTGATCAAGCTTATGGTGCATTTTGATGTCCTTCTCAGCTTGTAAAGTTGGATGAAAATTGTCAACTCATCAAATTACTACCAGTTTTTTCAGAGGTAATTAATAGTTGGGGTAGGAATAGACCAATAACATCACTCACTGTAAAAAATATTTTTATGAAAATTAATAGGGCCTGCCTGTTTATTATGCAGATTATGATACAGAAAACTTGTCATGGGTTTTCTATTAGTATTTCGTCAGTGTTGGGACAAAACCTTATATCTCCATTTTTGTTCCATATATTATTTTTAAGAAACTGAAACTTGCCTTTACAATGTCTTAAAATTTCATGATGAATGTCATTTAAAGTGCAAAAATATTGTCTCATTAACTTCCATTCAAATTTAAGAACATGTTTTCTTTCTTCTGTATAATTAACATTTTTAGTTTTGTCCCACTATTTGGACATGTCAAAAACATGTCCAAATCTGTAATTTAATTATTTTTAATTATTAATAATTAATTTCGTCTCTAGCTTGGGAATTTACAGCCCACAGTCAACACTGCCCCATAAAATCAAACTTATGTTTTAATGTTTGGAGATGTTCACGCGAGGTAGAAAAATGCACATTGGTTTGATTTGGGCCACACAGAATACAAGTGTCTCCATACTTTGGATGCCTTTTTACTTAAGAAAAAGCATAAAACTTCTTTTTCACAGGATTGCACCAGTATTTGCATCAATATAATCTGGGGGCATGTCAGCTGTTCCTGTTATAGAATATTAATATTGGTAAGTAGGTAAAAAAGTAATATAGGTATGCAGAAATCTTTACTGATTTAGGAACATGCAGTCAGTAAAAATGACTGGCGTGGGTTCAGACAGGACTAAAATCACAGAGATGCAACGATAAGAACTGCATCATGTAAAATGAATACTGTCAAAATAGTGCTTAAGTCCCTTAACTTCCTTGGACTGTTCAAAACTTTCTTAAACCACAGGTGTCAAAAACAGTTCCTAGAATGCCACAACACTGTTTAGGACTATACCTCATTTAGCAAACCTGTTTTAGCTCATCAGCTAATTAGCATAGAGAGTAAACGCTAATCTCTACAGAGCTGCGGCCTGCAGGAAACTGAGTTTGACACATCTGGATAAACCATTGACGTGACAAATCATTGTCTTCAGGGCTGTATTGTACATGTATTGCAACTTGGTGTACTACAGTTTATGCGCTGGTACCATAGAACTGTTTCAACATAAACTATGTGCTGTATTAACAAGACATATCTTACCCTGAAAGTGCTGCCACAGGCATTAGTCTGGGTAATGGGGAAGTTGAAGCGAAGCACTGGAGGAGTGACAGAAGTATCCAGAGTGCCTCTGCAGGTTGGGTCATCCATAATGTTGTTGAGGAAAAGCAGAGACTCGTTGTAGCCAGTGTAGACAGCTGGACAAATCTGTATAGCCAGGCCAATGGAATTAGTGCCACAGTCCACAGCAATGTCTGTGTACTCTAGCAAAAGAGAAATCAATCAATCAATCAATCAATCAATCAATAAATAAATACAGTAAAAAATAAAAGCAAACCATTTTTTACAGCACATAACATATTTACCTTCATGTATATAAGAATACAGCACAATCAAACTTAAGTTTTTAAAGAAAGTGACCATTTCTCACATGAAATAATTCAACTCCGAGTAAATAAACAAACTACCATTATACTATTCTCCTAAACACCTGCATTTGTGTTTAATCAAAAGTTTAAAAAGATAGCATACCTGGTCGTCTCAAGTACGGGTAGCAGTTTGCTGCTGTTAACTGGCTGCTAACTGCGGTAGCAGTAATAAGGACAAGGAACAGCTGGAGGAGCATTTTCCCAGTACTGGTTGAGCCAAACCTGTGCGTAAGAGAAAGACAACACCAACAGCCAAGTCAGTCACCAGCGCAACACCAAGGAGTTTATGAAAACGTCATGAAGAGACATGCTTTGAGTCCGAATACAGACCTCGCATTAGATCATCCTCACTGCTTGCCTTTTCCTTGCTTATCCTTCACTTTGATCCTTTAAGAGTATATGTGGCACTGTTATAAAGGACGTCCTTCAGAGGGATTGGACAAAAACAAGGACGAAAATAAGGTCATTCCTTTAATGCAAGCCTCTTTAGTCCAGCATTTGAGAATAAGTCTTTGTCTATGGGGTACCAAGGTACTTCCCCAAGGGCACTCAGTGAAATTACACACCTTTCTTAGCGTCTCTTTCCCTTATGTGACGCTACTTAGAAGACGTCCGGTATACCTTTTGAGGCCCGTGTCCTTTTTCCTAGCATCTTCTCTTAATGCACACTGAGGCCTGATATAGGAGTCCGTTTGTCCACAAACACCATCAGGTTGCATTCCAGTCTCACACTCATACATGCACCTGTCTATATTATGCACTGTACTGTTCTGTTCGTTGGAAAATCCCTAATGAGAAAACCTGGCCTATAGTAACTGATCTAGAACAGTTTAACTATTTACACTATTAAAACTTAAAATAACTTGAATGAATGTAGAACTGTAGTGGATTTCAAAACTAAAACTGGAGAGAAAAAAAAAGCAAACTTTGACTAATTGCACTGAAAAAAGTGATACATTGAATTTGCTTGATTCAAATGTGTATTTAAACTTGAGTTTCAAGAACAACAGTTTTATCTTGTTATTTTCCTACTTTTGATATATCATATTCATATGGAAATGATCAAGTACACATTTTATGTAGTCAAACAGGTGCAAGTAGAACATGCTTGTATTCCTGTAACATTGTTACTGACAGCAATTGGACAGATATTCCTCAAGGTTCACCCTAAAGATTGTTTTGTATCATAATAGCAACTTAGTGCTTAGAGTTGTGTGCATAAGGCACATAATTCATACTTAGATTATTACTTATATTATTACTTATATTATTCATACTTATATATCGTTCTCTTGTTGTCTTCCGGTGTAACAAAATAGTTCATGTCATCAAACGCTGACGCATTAAACTTAAACTTGCATGTGCAGAGGTTTGTGCATGCACAGTGTACACAAAACTAAACTTGAATAAAACGTTGACCCTTAGATAGGTAAAGGGGCAGCCAAACATGCTCTGTTTAGGCTGGAGAGGATGACGTGATACAGAGAACATGTATAAAATTCTTTAGATATTGTTTACATTCTGAATGCCGACCATTAAGAATCATTTTTAACTGCTGTAACTTTGTCAGGGATCTGTCCAACAGAGCTATAAGTTACAACAAATTAAGTAGATTTATAAACATTTTGCATTCACTTTTGTAAGGATAAGAGCGTCTGATAAATGCCATAAATGTAAATGTAAACATGACTTGCCTTGTTATTTAAAAGGGAAAATCTTTCAGCCGCTGTGGTTAGATCAGTACGTGAGCTAATGCTGGAGCTAACAGATTTTTTTAAACTGAATGAGAGGCAGTCATTGTCTTTATTACTATATGTATAATTATTTTCTGTTCAGTGAATGATGAGAAAACATGTTGGCTTGTCAAGGTAACACTGAGAACAGAGGAATATTGTGTCTAACCTTAGCTTCATCATGGTTGGCCCAGCCATATTAAATTCAGACTTCTCACTCATGTCTCATAATAACATTAGCAAAGTGAAATAATATACAGTAAGACACTTCACTGAGCTGGGAAGACACCGAGCTGCCAGTTTATTAGATACATCTTGTATCTCATTGGGCGTTTTGTCTCGTACATCCACTAAACACTGACTTAAAAACCAGTTGTTGGGCTCAGTGTGGAGATGTAACTATAAGGTGTCAGCGTTTAACATTTACAGTTCTAAATGTAAGAAGTCTTAACTATTTTTGTTGCACATGTTTATACTTGCCCTTTTTTAAACAGAGTTTCTGCCTCCAGATATTGATTGGATTTTATTTCCCCATGAAACACAACTTTTTAAAATCAGACTGGTCCCAGGGGAAAATTTTATTGCTAAAATATTGATCCTTGATGTTTTAGGAGACTCATGGTGGGTCTCCTAATAGTTCTTAAAATAAATAGCATTAGAGAAAAATGAAAAATTAGAGTTAGTACCTTGGCAAATCTGAGCACAATGTGTGAATTTATGAAGACAAGACGTGTGAGATCAATGGGCTCTTTTTCTCAGGAGAAACATCTGAGCAGCAGGAGACTCAAGCAAAAGGCTTCTTTGTCTTTCCATCTGATCTTGTGGGCGACACTGGAAAAAATGAATGTCAGCTCAATATTATAAGGTAACTGATTATGCAACTCAACTTTAGTGCATGAGAGTTTAACCAACTAAGACTTCTCAGTTTAGTTAAAAGTTCTCTTACTTTCTTAGCTCTGCATCAAAATATACTGTGGTGTCTGCCTCGGGCCACGCTGCCATGGGGAGTTTAGGGAGGCTGTGGCCATGCAAAGTGGCTCCCACCACCCTCTTTAAACACATCCCCTCATTAAACAGGACATTTTGCTGTGGTCGTTGTAGCTGCTGCTGTTGTTTTGTGTGTTAGTGTGTGGCATTTCGGTTATTTAATTGTGTTTGTCGAGGATGGACTTTGTGTGAGTTTGTCCACCCTCTCTGTTTGTTGTGTCCTTGCGTGTTACCCCGTCCATGGTTTCGTGTTGAGATTGCACGGGGGCTGGGCATATCTTGCTGCCTGTTGAATGTCCTGTTCAAAATAAAATAATATTTTTCCATACATGCATATTCTGTGCAGATCTTACAAAATTAGCTTTTTTACTCTGTTTCTCCACATCAAACAATCCCATCAGACATTCTCTCCACTTGGACTTCCAGATATGGACAGCTGGGCATCAACCTCAACATCTCCTTATGTTGGAATAAGTTATTAGACAACTGTCTCACAATACATCCCAACAGCAGGAGATTGTGTACTTTTCAAAGTTAAAAAACTAAAATATCTTCAATAGTGTATTAAAAATTTATGAACACAAAATCAGAGTAAATTCAGGTGTTCACGAGTACCAAGCCATCAACCCAACAGGAGGTCTAGAGTTTGAACCCCAGCGATGCCAGGAGAACATGTCTAATTGGACTATGTTATGGAAATCCCAGCTAGTGTGGAAATAAAGTAAAAAAACAATTCATTATTTACTAAACTGAGACAAAGAACTAAAACAATGAAGAGACTTTTTGGCTAAATTCATAAGTTTGAGTTGGCTGTCGACAAGTTGAGTAGATGTACGAGATAAGCTGTATTGATGTCTGAGAAATCTTAACTTCAGCTTCATGGTAGGTTTCTGCTGATGGATCACTGCTTAAGCTGCTGAGCTGTATGATGTCAGATACAGGAGGCTTATCAGCAGCCAGGTGTCCACAGAAGGTGTATACAGCTACACTCTAAAAAAGACGGTTGTCCAAGGGTTCTTGAGTAAAGACACTGGTTCTATATAGAACTATGAATACTCAAAGAACCCTTTGCATGTTTCTTTGCTTTGTGAAATAGTTCTTCACATTGACAGAGAATGTGTTGTACATGGTTCTAATCAGAGCATTTTTGAAAACGTGTTCTGCTACTGTTACAAGTGGAGGTCTGCACTCCCGTGGATTCTTATATCTATATCAATATCTTGCAGCAAGGGGCCAATTATCAGTGTTGTGCGTGGGAGCGGGCGGGAAACCAGCCCACTGCAGGCGGGAGTGGGCTGAAGCACGCATGAGGAGAAATCCTGCAAATTAATGAACAGCCTAAATAAAGTCTAACAATCACTAAATCATATACATAAACAATATAAAATGATTAAAACAATTACAATGAATGAAGTCATTCTAAAGAGTTGTGAAGCAACCAGTCACATGAACAACATGCTAATCCTCGTAGCTTACAGAGATGGCAGAACCTTCAGTCTGACGGCCACAGCTGCCCAGCAAAACACCAAAAATAACCATTCAGTGTTATAATTCCTGGCAGTAAGTGGCGTATTGGTGAAGTTACTTCACAGTGAGCCTGAAGATGATTACTGCTGAGATATTTCAGCAGAGGATCATGTATTTGTGAATAGACTATGTCAGATATTGGATGTCAGTTTGCCTTGACGGAACTGCGCAGGCTGGAGTGGGCCAAAAGTTTCGGTTGTGGGCGGGAGCAGAACAAATGATTGCGATTTTCTGGGGGTGGGAGCGGGATGAAATCTTGCGGGAGCGGGCAGGTGCAGGACTGAAAAAACAGTCCCGCGCTGACCTCTAGTTACAAACTTGACATCGCAACAATAGCAGCACAATTTTTGGTGCTATATAAAACTCTTTTCAAAAAGGTTCTAGATACAACATGGTTTCTTAGTTTGAAGACAGCTTCTGGATATTTTGATTCCACAGCAATCTCCTGAATCTGGGTTGAAAGATCAAAAATTTTGGTAACACTTTATTTGGATGGTCCACTGTGGATGCTTTGTAAATGCTCAGCATGTGTTTAAGTAACAGTCAACTAAATGTCCATTAAATGAAACTGAACTTCAAGTTCAGTATGAAAGATTTTATTAAATCTATTCCAACCCTAAACCTAACCCTAACCTTAACCTCAAGGCAAGACCTATACCTACTCCTAACCCTAACCATACTGTTGTTGATAATCAACTGAACATCACCACAAACTTTGTTAGTGATTTAGGTATCTGTAGAGCATCTATAGGGGACCATCCAAATAAAGTATGACCAAAATTTTTACTGATGAAAAGAAAATAAGAGGTGATTAAAAGAAACTAAAACCTCTAGGAATTTGGGGTAACTATACCCTCAATGGTTCAATAAAATGGATTACATGAGGTCAAGTCTCCATCTTTACAAATGATAGTTAAAATGTTCATTACAATTTAATATCTAAAAATATCAAACTTTTTGCTAGCTTGTTCAATACAGCATCGTTTAATACAGTAGCCACATGTCTAAGTTAATACTATACCTAACATTATCATATAGTTATAATGCTATTAACAGCACATTTGAATGTATCACCATGGTAAGTAGCTACACTGTAAAAAACATAAATTAAGAGCCAGTTTTCAATGGTATTTTCCTGTTATGCACAAAAACATCTCTTTACTGTAAAACAGATCACAGCTGTAAATTTACAGCCATTTTTATGGTGTTATCACATTATCCTTAAAAATAGCTATTTCCTATAAAACTAATGCATTACAGGAGTTGAGTGATATGAAGCTAGCATAGCAGTAGCTCATGGCAAGTCCTTGTGATTTTCATCAAACTTCATGTTTTACATCATAGCATGGTATTTCATTTTGCTTGTGAGGAAATACAAAACGCATCTGTAACATTTACCCATCATTGCCTGGATTATCATTTTGTAGGAGACTGCTTTTTTTGTTGTTTTCTTTTAGCACTTTCAACAACTAGCCGTCGAATGCTGGCGAGACTGAAGACCATCTTAGCAGTGCATTTTACTCAGTGCACCCCCATCAAAAAGGTAATGAACTGTTAACATCTAGCAGTATTACATTGTAAACATACTACATTATGGTTATATCCTGTATTTGTAAAAAACGGTATTAAACCATACATTTTACAACAGTAGGATACCGTTAATTTAACGGCAAGTTCCTGGCAACCCTGCTGTCAGTTCTTTACTGTTGAAATTTTTTACAGTGTAGGAGGAGAAATATAATGTTTCTTGTGCAATTAATGCTTAGCTCAGAACTTCAAAGTGTGGACTACAAAAGTACAGATTTCCATTTCCAAATTATGCAGAGTGTGCCAATCAAACAAGACTAGAGGAGAAACCTGCACATTTATCATGAGTGTATCTACACTGTAAAAAATGTATAACAGGAAAATTTAGAAACTGACTGTTAATTTACAGCAATTTTTGCAGTGGGTACCATCCCTTTTACTACATGCCATGTTTAGTCATCTGGCTTATAATAATGTACCTTTAATTATTGTTTACCATTAGCATTGTGGCATGGCATTAACTTTCTATGAACTATGAAGTGCTATTGCAATGCTAAATATAGACTTAATAGAATTAAACTATTGCTTATTTAAACACACAGTAAGGCTGGCATTGACTATATACCACCGGCCACTTTATTAGAAACAGTGACCTTGTAGCTCCACCTCTCAAGTATACACTTAAAGGCTGTAGGCCATCTGTTGATGCACAATTTGTGTTAGCCATCTTCTAACCCCTCATCAGTGGTCACTTTCTGATCACAAAGCTGCTCTTGGCTTTAATATTTTTGGGAAGTGGACCACTCCGGACCTAGCAATGACACTTGTGTGTAAACCCCCCCAGCAACACCACTGTGTCTGATACACTCATACAAACCCCACACACACTACAATGATACTACCATGCCAATGTCACTGCTGTATTGAAAATGGTTCACCACCCAAACAGTATCTGGACAAAGGCAGTCTTGTGGTCAGAAACTGACCAGTGATAAACGGGGTAAAGGGTGACTGAGAAATTGTGCAGCAAAAGATGGTAATTGTACACTTTGTGGAGCTCATAAAGTGGCCAGTGAGTGGAAGTACAAGGTAGGTGTTTGTTATAGTTGTTATTGTGTGTTTTACTCAGTGACTGTGTTTCTTTTGTGATTTTGAAAGAATGTTATGTGGTTCACCACCAGTTGAACACAGTTCCTCACTGAAGATTAATTGTACATTAATCGTCACAGTGAATATTCAACATGTTGGAGCGATTTGTTTAACAAAGGAATGATGTCACACACGCCTATCCAGCTGCGTATACTGTGACAGCTCCACCCATCTTACTGCAGGCTGTGAACATCAGCAGTCATGCTATACAGTTGTATGCAAAAAACACCCTTGGTCAAATTACGTGCTTTGTGGAAAAAAGCTAATAAGTTGATACATCAAATACAGGGAAAATAATTGAATATGATTGTTTTTTTCAGCATGTGTTAGTGGGCAATTTCTATTCTAAATATTGGGACACCCCTCCTAATTATGGAGTTCAGGTGTTTTGGACACACCCATTGCTAACAGGTGGATAAAATTAAGCACATAGCCTTGCAGTCTCGATAGACAAACACTGGCAGTAGAATGGGTCATACTGAAGAGCTCAGTGATTTAAACATGGCCCTGTCATAGGATGCCACCTTCTCCACAAGTTAAATTTCTGTCCTGCTAGATCTGTCCTAGACAACTGTAAGTGCTATTATTATGAAATGGAGAGGAGTGGTTTTCAGCCTGCCGTTACTGAACTCTAAAGCAGTGGAAACGTATTCTGTGGAGCGATGAATCACGCTTCCCTATCTGTCAGTCTGATGGACGAGTCTGGGTTTGGCGAATGCCAGGAGAACATTACCTGCCTGACTGCACTGTGCTGACTGTAAAGTTTGGTGGAGGAGGGATAATGATATGGGGTTGTTTTTCAGGGGTTGGCCTAGAACCCTCAGTTCCAGTGGAGGGAAATCTTAATGCTTCAGCAGACCAAGACATTTTGGACAATTGTACACTTCCAACTTTGTGGAAACAGTTTGGGGAAGAACCTTTTCTCTTCCAGCATGACTGAGCCCCAGTGCACAAAACAACCTGTGACCTCACAAATGCTCTTCTGGATGAATGGGCGAAAATTCGCACAGACACTCTTCAAAATAGTGAAAGCTTCCCAGAATAGTGGAAGCTGTTATAGCTGCAAAGCGCGGACCAACTCCTTACAAATGAATATGGATTTTGAATGGGATATGATAACAGCTCCTGTGGGTGTGTCCATGTACTGTATCTGCCAATTCAACCAATTTGACCCCACTCATTGAAAAAGACATTAAAAGGAGTGTTTCAGTCCTTACTGCACAGTAACAAAAACAATCTGGTTCTAAACAATAAAGAGAGGTTGGAAAATAGTGATGTGAAAATGAATTATGACTATTTTTGATAGATAAACTCCCACAAATGTCATTATTCAGTTGTAAAATGCAAAATACAAGAATAATGTCGGGTAATGACACTTTATACTTCAATTGGGGAGATTTTTTAATACAAGCACAGACATGCGAGCCTCTCTCAGACAGTGACCGTGGCTACAAACTGAAGTACAATTCATAAAAAAATAAAAATAAAAAATAGGTCTGAGTCCCAAGCAGAGGAGACAAAAGTCTAGCTTTATTAACTCGGAATATACAATGGATGATCAGAATATGCTCCTGGGGACACGGACAAGGAGACTAGGGTTTACAATAAGCATTGTCAGACTTTCAGGAGGCCATGAATTATGAATATTTTGTTCTGATTCCACAGTGCACACTACAGTGAGAGTGTGTGGTGGGTTGAATCAACTGAGCAGTGAGAGTTTGTGTTGTGGCCAGATCAAATTTGCTGTTCTTCTGTGGAGAGAATGGGGATTCGAGTATCACTGAAACAAGAGCCCTGTGGTGTGAATAGTGTTTAAAGAACATAAGCTGTGAAATTAGGTTAATGACAATAAAGCATCAAGAGCTGTGAAGGTCAAGCTTAAGATCATATACACCTGACATTGTTGCAGTGAAACTATTGACAGTGACATGCTGCTTTATGTTGGTTCTGCTTTAGGTTACAGATTACAAAGGCTTAAACATGAAGGTGCCAAAAAGTGTTCTTTGGAGCAATACCATAAGCAATCTTCCAGGTACGTTTTAAAGAACCAACTACTTGAAAGGTTCGTTAGGGAACCAGACCCAAACCCAAAACAATTTCCTTTGGCGCCTTTATTTATCAAAATGCAAATTCTTCAATATTTATCATTTTCAAACATTTTGAACTTGACTTTTTATTTATTTGATTGTGTTTTGGTGATAAAGGCCTATAAAGTTTTTCCATTTGTGTGAAATTTCATGGACGGATGGAAGTTCTCACATGCTGCTAGTGCAGGTGGCTTGCTGCCAGTACCCCCACCCCTCTCGATCCATTACGAAACCAAATTTCCACTTCTTACACAATCATACATTATAAGCCATTTTGTGTATTTTAAGCTTTGGAGTGAAGTAAACTGTTCAGAACATGCAGAAGAATAATCGCTTAGCTCTCACAAAAATTATTCTCTACTTACTGCTACCATGTTCCATCTCTCTGTCGATCGACTGTCTTAAACGCTGAGCTGAGGTGAGTAGATATCACTGTTGTCAGAAGAAAACCTCGGATCTCCATTTTTGTCATTTTTCAGTTTTTGACATTATTTGAAAACACCTGTGTGTAATTTTCATGATGACTGGACTAAAAGAAACGGCCCAAAATGACTTGTAAAAAAATCTGGTTCCATTGACTTACATTAAAAGTTAAGTAGGTTTTTCCTTCTCCTGTAAAGTTACCATTTTGAAGATACAAGGTTTTCTTCCGACAACAGCCTTTGTGAAGTCTGCAAACACGAGTTGACCAATTCATTTTGTGAACATAGATTAACTGTTTCCATACATCCATATAAGGTGAAGTTTTGACACATTCGAATGTCTAGAACATTCTTTTTAGAACGGGTAACAGATAAATGAAACACTTTAAAGAACACCTTAGTGCTATACTTTACATTGCAAAACCCCTTAATGATACTGAGGTATCAGTTTCTTAATGCAGTACAGCACCTATGCATTGTACCCAGGTTGGCTATGCAAACCCAAAAGTAGGTGTAATTCTTGAAAGAAAAAAATAGTGCATATAAAAATTCACTCAAAGAGATAATTGACTTGTTTATTGATGTTTATTCATTATGTAGCATGCATTAATGAATGGATCACAAATATGGATCTGCAATTTAGACATCATTGTGTAATTAGAACCATAAGTGCAAGAACATTTGAAACATCAAAACAAAAGTATTGCTATGCTCTCTGAAATAATCCCTTCAAAGGGCTTTGATCTGCATTTGTATTTGTTAATTAACCAAAAGTCAAGTTTTCTGATATTGATTAAAAACGGTCAAGTCTTTTTTTGGTTTGTTTGAAGTGACTTAAGTGGCAGTTTTGGCTCACTAATTCAAGTACATCTTGAGGTCACTTTATTATATTGAATTAAAAAAAGGTTTCAAGTCTCTATAAGAAACACAATATATGGACATTTTGATAAAAACTCAGATAAGCAACCAAAGTACCAAATTATTTTAAAGCTGCAGCTGATTATCTGTAAATTAGCAGCTAAGAACTACTGTTCTTAGGGATATAGACCACGTTGCTTATGTGCAGTGTTTCGCATAATCGTGCAGTTTCCAAAATGAAATAAATTACTTTAAATTTTAATTGACTTCTAATCAAAAACATTCCTATTCCCCTACCTACGAACTAAGGTGCCATATATTTCCTATTCCTTTTCCCTTACGTCAAATCTCTCAAAGCCCTGCCTCAAGAGTTTAACCTCTTTTTGCTGCTGTGTCAAACATCCAGAAGTAAACATTGAGAATGAGTTCCCTTCTTCTTCCACTAAACCTTACTGATATGTACATTCTTATTTTCTATAATTGACGTAAATTCACCAAGTTGTATCATAGGAACCAAAGATTACAGCGTTGCAATATTAATTACAGTAGCTACAGTGACCCTATTCCACCAGCTGACCTCTGTCCCAGATGGAGCATGGTCACTGCAGTCCATAGTAGCTTTAGCCATGGAAAATTTTGGAGGCGCCAGAGGTTAGGAGCTTCTTGTAGAAAATAACAGCTGCCCCAATAATCCCAATGCAGACGAACGCCAGGATGCCCACGGTCACCGCCAGCCCAACAGATGAGTCCGAGCGAGTATTACTGCCAGACAAAGCTGAGAGAGACACAAGAAAAGTGTTTTAGTAGAAGTTACACTTCACCTATTTACCCTTTAAACTTGGTTTCATTGTATTCACTGAAAAATGAATCATAAACCCTGAATAATAAGCCTTAAGATTTATAACTAATTAATAAGCCCATTATAATATCAATGGACAGTTCATTTTTTATTACAAAGGAATTTAGCTTCCTTTACAGCTGTACTCAGCTATACAGAGCTGTCTAGGCCTGCCTCATATGGGCTGTGGTTGTCTACATTATGCCTTAAATAACATGAAGAACTCTGTGAAGATGCTTCTGTGTATCAGATATATGTAGAAATATGTAGCTTACCTTGCTCTTTTGATGATGCAGCTGAAACAAAACAAAGCAGAGTTAGACGTTTGTGAAATATGTGTAAAATAACTAATGGGCGTTGAGTTAATAGGCATTGCTCTGTATTTGTATATGCTTCATTATTATATTTTATTTAAAGTACATACCGGTGTCAGCTCGGGTAATGATGAGGGGTGAGATGAGAGTGGTGGGATCTGTGAGTCCGTCCACAAGAAGAGAAGAAGAGGTAGGTTCCACATCTCTTTTCCTTCTGCCTGCGGAGCAAGACTGGTGGAAAATAATGGAGAAAGGAACAAAATGAGTGTGTGTGAATAATCAGATCATAACAAAACCTTGTAGGTTTTTATTTATTTACTTATTTATTTACATTTTCACCATTTAAAAACGGTGCCTTTACAGTACAGTGAAGGTGGTTTAATGGACACATGAGCTAATAAAAATTTTAAAAGCAAATCATTAAAAAGCTTTTTTTTTAAAATTTATAGCAATTAATCATTTTTCTCCTACAGTTACCATTTTGTAGATCATACAACAACAAAAAAGTTTTCTTACAACAGTGATGATGTTTAATATTTGAACTTAATCATGTGTTTTGATATTTGAACTTTTGTAATAACTGTATTAACTAGGTATTAAATGAGGTAATTAAGGTCACAAACCTATATTAGTACACAGTATGGATGAATATTTTTGGTGACACTTTGTTTTAAGTGTATCAACAGAACATCTACAAGATATTTACTTCAGTGTATTCAGATGTTTCACTACTGATATGTTGTGGATGTGTTACTGATAATCTGTTAAGAGTTTATTAACCATCTACAAAGGACCACTCCAAATTTTTATTATGGAAATCTCAGACCTTTTATCCCACTTTACCTGAATAGTCTTCTTTTAACAGGAGCATCGCTTGTCTATATGTATCTGTGTGTATGTTTGTATCTGTAGCTTGTGTAAGATGATCTCACCCTAATTATATTGTTGCAGGTAGCGGTCTCACACAGTCTGGTGATGCAGTGCAGGTAGTATCTAGAGATTGTCTGGTTCTGTTGCTCCATGAATCGGAAAGCAGGGAAGGAAAAGCGAGCCCTCTGACTCTGACCGTTCTCAGTGATGTTGGTCAGTTGATCCTTGGTGCACCTGGTGAACACCAGAGTTTATTATTGTAAGAGAGTGGCCATAAAGCCTCAAAGACACAGATATTACTTGTGACTCAAGACCACATGAGGCAAATGAGTTTTTGTCATTTATACAGTGTAGTGTATAAATAATAAATGCAATGTCTGGTTATTTCTAAGTGGTGTATCTATAATTATTAGGCTCAATTTACACCAAAAACTGTTTCTATCAATATCATTAGTGGCAAGTAAAAAACATATCGTCGCTATCCAAAGAAAAACAATTATCTCCAAAATAGTAACTTTACAGGAGAGGCCAAAAACACTCTTTACTTTCAATGTAAGTTAATGGAAAGAGGTTTTATTTCAAGCAATTTTGGAGCATTTTTATTGGTACTATCATCATGAAATTTTCACACAATGTAAAGAACTGCTGAGCGTAAATGACGCAGAAATGTAAAAATTGTAAAAAACTGAGATACATGTTTTTCATTGGATAGTGATGATATATCATGGATTTCACAGCAACACCTTTACTGATAGTAATGCAGTAAACATCATGTAGGTCTTGAAAGAAAGTCCTAATGTAGAGGCTGAGCAAATGTGAATGATTATCTGGTAGAACTCACCCCACAAAGAAGTTATAAAAGGTCGAGGTGGCTGGGAAAGGGGACACAGAAGCATAGCATCTGTCCAGCAGCACCATGTACCTGTGGTAAAACAGAAACATAATCAGTAAAATCTTAAATATTTTACATTTATCCGAAGTTCTAGGCTACTTTGAAATTCTATTGGCAGTGCAATTTAGTCCAAAATTAAATTCAGGGTTTAATCAATATCTTTGACAATAATGAGTCAGGTTTTAAGTTTTAAAGCAACATTACAAGAGAATTGCATTTCCTTACTGAGTGGTGAGGTTGGTGGCCTGGACCAGAACAAACACATTAGACTTGAGCTCGATGCCCTGCGAAGGAATTACCAAGGGTGTGGTATAGGCTGCATCCTAAATCAAAAAGAAAATAGGCAGTATTTAGAGGCAAGTTCTATTATTCTATTATTACACAGAAGTATTTCAAGCCTTAGCAAATTTACTAAAAAATGTAAAGCTGTGATGTTGCTGGAAATGCCTTACGCTGTACAGCCTGAGGCTCAATGTGCTGATGAAGCTGCCATTTCTGTCCTTCACTGCAATGGCAGAAGATGACCTGTGGGAGGAGGTTTGGCGTTGGTCAGTAATGTGAGACAGGATGTTGAGCATTGTGTCCAAAGTAGATGTGGCGATTAGAGGCTACTATGGCGCTTCATGTAATCCTAACTGCAGATTAACCTTTCAACAAAGTATTTTACGCCCTGTTAAGTCTTGAATGGGAGATGTTACATACTAATAGTAGAATAGTAGAGGAGGAAAGGGTGGGCAGAGCATCTTTCTAGAACTTTTTTTTTCTTTCTAGAAATTCTAAAACTGCCAATCTATGCTGAACCCAGGGCTTCTCTACACTTAGAAAGTAATGTATTGATCATTTCCACATGAATAAAGTATATGATACCAGCATAATTGCTGACAAAAGTTAGCTAAAAGACAACGTTATGCAGAATGTATGGAAATCATGTACACGTCACTAATGTTTACCAAGGTTATATACCAAATTTTTAAAACTAGTGGATACACACTACTAGAAAAACATTAGTGAGCATAATTCCTTTACACAAAAGTTCATATAAAGCTAATGTCACAAAGCAGAAACATCATATGTGCAATAAGAATTATCCAGGTTGCTCAGAGCACACTTGCAAAAAAACAAAACAGTGCTATTCGTCTATTAACCATGACAAATACTTACACGTCAAGCTGTGTGTTGTTGATCAGGTACTCCAGGGGATAGGAACATGAGTAAAAGTACTTTAGGTCTGTGTTGTAGGTCACAACGCTGGATGAGGGGTCATACGATTTCACCACACCACTGATGTTTACTGTCTGTATATTGGAGAAGTCTGAGAATATTCCGGTGCCTTGAGCACTGGTGGTCTGGGAATCAGAGCAGACATAAAACCTCATATGTTAGTAAAGTATGTAGGATACAACCTGTAGCCTGTTTACAATTTCAGATCCTATTTCATGCTAATATGCATTGAAATGTGAAGACTACAATAATATTTAAAATATTTTTGAGCAGACTCTCAACTCTATGATAGAGTATCTCCATAATAATAATAAGATTAATGTCTATTATCTTCTACTATACTCTGAGGTGCACTTTCGGATGAGACTTGAGGTTTAAGCAAAAGTAATTCAACAAATCTTTAAGAAATCCACAGGTAAAGCCATTTGATGTTAAAGATTATTCTCCTTACAGCATCAGTCTGACTAGACTTTCTTGGCGCTTCACTCTTGTATCAGAGAGCCTTATCTTACCGTGAGGGTGCTTCCACAACCGTTGGTCACATTAATGGGAAAGGAGAAGCGGAGAACAGGAGGAGCGACGGTGGTGTCCACGGTGCCTTTGCAGTTAGGATCATTCATAATGTTGTTAAGGAAAAGCTGAGATTCATTGAAGCCAGAGTAGACAGCTGGACAGAGTTGTATGGCAAGACTAATGTAATTTGTGCCACACTCCACTGAGATGTCAGCGTAGTCTAAGGGAGAAAAAGAGGCTTTTAAGTGTTGTTATAAACTGCAGTTGTCAATTTTGCCAAAGTTTCTAGAATGGGCTAAATCCCTGAAGCAGATAACATTCCCAGAATGGGCTCTTTTTTAAGCATTATTGTAAGCATTATTATCTCGTATGATATATTTATGTAGCTGTTATGCACAGTGACTAAAATGTGTCTTTTCCTGATATTGTCATTGTCTGAAAGCTCTGCAAAGGCAATTTTTCGTCTGTACACAAAAGCTTATACAGTAATTTACCCAAGTCATAGACCTTTTTCAGCACAGACTCAATCACATTCATACATGCAATCCAAATGAACCAGTGTCTCATGGATTTGTGATAACAAGAGTGCATCTCATCAAGAAATAGCACAAGAACGTACCTGGTTTTCTCAAGTATGAAGTACAGTTAGCCGATGTCGTCGCTATTAATTGGCTGCTAACGGCATTCACAGTGATGGAGACTAGGAAAAGCTGGAGGAGCATTTTCTGACTCTTGGTTGAGCTTGAACCTGTGCATAAAAGAAAGACATCACCAACAGCCAAGTCAGTCATCAGTGCAACATCCAGGAGTTTAGGAAAATCTTGAAGAGAAGATCCCAAGGCTCCAGGAAGACGGGCTCCAGGAGTAGAAGTACGCACCTTGCATCAGATACTTCATCCTTGCTTTTTGCTTGGTTATCCTCAGCCTTTCGCTCTTAATGGGGTCTGATGAAGCACTTTTATATCCATGTTCCTTGGCAGGATTGGCCAAAAATAAGGTCACTGCAACTTAGCATGTCCCTGGTGTGCAGCATGTAAGAACAGCCCTTTTTTTTTTTTGTGAATGCTTTGCTATGGTCCTGGCCCGAGGACACGGTGAAATGACACACCCAAATCCTTCAAAGGTACACCACTCTGAATGGCCTGTTTTCTTTGTGTACATTTCTAAATACAGAATCCCTTCACCTAACAATATGAAACTTCATGAAGTATGTGTTGAACCCTCGGGGTCCGAAGACAATGCTTCGGATGACCTTTTTGGGATAGTTTGACATCAAACAATATGTTAAGAGTCTTTATGCTGACCTAGAGAAGAACCCTGGAACACACACAAAGAATTAATCAGAATAACAAAGCGTCATGAGAAGGTGTAACGTTAACCTCGGGACCTTTCAATAAAGTTAGGAGGCAGGTCATAAGTCTACTGCTGCTTTTATTGCAGACATCTTCAACTCAATATCAGCATCACGGGTGTTCTCATGAAATTGTGGAAGCCTACTACAAAGAGATAAAGAGACTAAAAGCAGTCTGCACATTAGTTTTTAAAGGTCAAACAATCTCGGCTGACTAATACAGCCTCTATTTTTAATGTGATGTTTTGTTAATGTTCTACAGAGTCAGGTTTTGCCTGTCTTTACATAAAAATGTATACAGCAATTTATCCCAAGTATTGGATATCTTTCTTTTCAGTCCAGGCTTAGTTATCACAGGACCTGAAGAAATATGTTTCTGCAATTAGTGCATCATGGTAAATTAAACTTACAGTAAACAGAATTTTCCACTTTGAGATTTTGGAAACAGCAATTTAACTAAACCATGGTACATATGGACTGTCACATGCTTTAGTGAATACTCAAGAAACTGTGAGCTGGTGAAATATTCTTCTTTCCTACAGCAGTTTGGGTAACTATGCAGGTGCTTTCATGCTGATAAGCAACAATACCAGACAAGAACTACTACATGAGACAAATGAATTCAGTAGTAGATTGTATTTTTAAAACTGCTTGTTAAATTTCAGTATTATTAGGGCTGCAGCGGCAAACTACTGAAAAAAATAAATAAATGTACTGAATATACTTATATACTAATATACGGATCATTCTACCGAACTGGTTCATATAGTCAGAGATGAAAATGCATTAAAGACTTTTAACTGACTTGGACTGACCCTATGCCTTAATTGTGGTGATTTTATTAATGACTGAACACTCTATTTTGTCACCAAAACAGTAGTAACACCTTGGTTCGGTGACAATTTATTGACAATATAGGCTAATTTTGAACGTAACTCAAAAACATTAGCCATTACATGACTAGTAAAGACAGCTTTGAACACTTGTACACATGATATGACAAAATCATAATATCTTTCATTAAAATGCAAAAACAGTTTACTTAATTGCAGAAAATATATGTACTGACAGTGACAATTCCTAATGTTACACATTGACTTTCACACTTTGGGACACATTTACTTCAAAACAATGTGATCAAACTGCTCACCATGTGGTCTGCTCACCATATCAAACATACATGTAGGACATTGTGGTCTATGGGCTGCCCTCTGGGTAGCCCTCCTCTAGAGTCATATTCTAGGAACTGGAATATTCTTACAGAGGGAGTATAAATTGTACATTTTGTATAAAACATTATTAAGAGTATAAGAGCTGAAGACGATTGCTTTACAGTAACCAATAAACCATCACCAGGGCTTAAACTGGGCAGAGCTCAGGCATTTTTGATTCATGTGGATGGTGGAGCTGAGTTTTAGTACCAGGATTTCAATACAGTCATCATAAAATGTCTATAATTATAGAAATGTGATCATCCCTGTTGACAGAAACACTTTTAAACTGTCACCCTCCGCCCCCAAATTGCTCTACTGATTTTTTACAGTGATGAAAGAGCATAATCGTTCATGCTGTTTCATGATGTTTCAACTGAAGCTAAATTAAATAACTAAATAAATTAATTTGTCAACTCCCTCATTTCTTAAGTAGCCTAGATAATTTGTTGCAACCTCTTGAATCTGAAGTCATTTCTAAGCATCTTGTTGCATAGATCACGACTGAGGACACTAAAACAAATATCTGTTCATACAGTACAAGCCAAAACTGACAAAAAAAACTAAAAACAGCAAACTAAGTAAATACATTGACTTAAAAAGGACTTTAAGAAAGAAACAGAAAGGCTGTTAGTTTAATCACATTTTTATGACATTCCCATATTGGAGACAGCTATGGAAAAAAATAGTCTCCCTACCTAAGAAGTTACAATTCAACCCCTGACTTTTACCCTTGAACACACAGTATTACTGGAGAATTCACTATGACTTTAATTAACTTGAGACATGTAGTTTTAACGAGTTTTCTTTTTTTTTCTTTGATAGACATTGCTATAGCAGGTTCATATTAAATTTTAATTTCAATATTTAAATATTGATTCATAATTTCATAATGGCATGATTTAGACAAAAATATTTCTTATTCTATACTATTAACTTTACTATTTTTCAGTTCTAGGCATTTTTCCAGGGATGATGCTTCTCTTATTAATGGCTGTGATGTTTATGAGTTGAAATATTAGTAAAAAAAAAAAAATGAATATGTTTTATTGACACTTGGTTGGTTAACACCTCATTGTTGTCATGGAAATGAGAAGTTACACCACATCCTTATCAACGACAGTATATCTGTGCGGTTCATCTGCGCTGTCTGAACACTCTAGGGCATTTCTCGTCTTTGTTAGAGATGTCTTGCATTGAGTCTGATGTCAGAGGATTGAGTTTTTTGCGTATTCTCATACGAGGGAAGCCCACAGGCATGGTGTTCTCTAAGACCTGAATTCACATGAGACTGCAGGGTGTTGTCTGACATACTAAACCGCTAACACAATACAGGACAATAACTGTGTCTCCTCTAGCAACGCCAAATATTTAGGCTTAGCCAGAGGTTGTAAAAATTTCAGTACATTCACGTGTATATTAAAGAAAAGAGCTGGTACATGGACTTTCGTAAACTCATAAGGTTGATTATTTTATTATGTACTTATAGTCAGGGCTGTATTAAGGCCTAAGTCTATATTGGGGAACTTACCACACCCTTTCAACCAGGAGGCATACATAAGACCATTTAGCATTGATTACCAGAACAAATCAATCAGCCACACTGTAAAAATACAGTCAACTCCCATGCAAAGCGAACTATCTGAACTGCATACGTAACATAGATACATACAATACATACATATTTATACGAACATACATACAAACATAGTCTACATAAACAAACGAATATAAAATGCTTTCTGGTTTTCTAAGGAAGAGTTATTCTGTTGTTATTTGTACCCACTTTTGTCCAGCAGGCAAGGTAAGAGATAAGCACTGCATCGTATTATTCTTCTAACAAATTGTTTGCTGTTGACTTAGTTTTCTGTCAAGACTAAAGAACTGTTTAAACAGATAATCTCCCCCATATGGCTTTTTGAGGTACTCTAGACACAAAGAGGGCATGACTCTGAACCAGGGAGGACAAGGGAATGCAAAGTTGCCAGACTCACAAGCTGAATGTGCACTTAAGTCTTTTCACAGTTTAACATTGTTAAACAGTAAAAGGTTAAGCAAGGTACAATGAACAGCTGAATAAGGGTGCCCAGTTGTGCTGTGACTGCATGCACCTCATGAAGATGATGTTAGATGCTCTATAAAGTAAACTCCCCATGAAACTATGGATAATGCAAAGGGACAAAGATTAAATCATGCTTACAGGGGTGCCTGGTGGACGGGGCTCTGGGCCACAGTCCACTGGGTTAATATAGCGTTGCTGGTGGAAATGAGGTATAGTTTATGCAATGCCAGCAACTTAGTTTGGCCATTCCTTGTGACCAACTGCTTTCCTCTATATGCTCACAGGTAAAACAAAACAGGAATGGGGCCCCCAGGTTGCACATTTTTAAGTTAGTGGGCTTTTGAGTGGTGCAACCACCCACAGTGCAAAAAATGTTTTATCTTAGCAAGTGATCTCATTTTAAATCTAGTCGATATATTTTTAATTTTGAGATTGTCATAAAAATATTATACGATGATTTTATTTATTTCTGGATTTTTTTCCACTGTTTGTGATTTAACTTTTTTTTTTAAGTGAAATTAACCAGTTATCTCACAATATTGGTAGAAAATATAGCGGCCAATTTTAGGAACTAAAGCTTGAAACATGTAAAATTATCAAACTTTTCTGTCAGTACAGTGTCAGTATCTGCCAGTATAGTTTGAGTACTTACCCCAAAACCTGAGCTCTCTATACTAAAATTAAAAATATGTTATGTGTGGTCTTCTAAGCTTGTGTAGCACAAACCTAGCTTTGGGAGTATAATGACAAACTTTTAGCTTGGATGACTTGATTTTTCCTCTGATCACCTAGAAGAACCTTTCCATAATGTAGATTATCTCTTAATTACCTTGTTCAAACCAGCCTGTCTTTACGCAGTAGAGTTATCATGTAACAACATGGAGTAGTCCATTATAATTATGACACTGGGTGTGTGAGCTTCATTGAAAAACAAGAGCAGAACACAATTATGACTAGAATAAAGCCACTGGGAACCCAATTATACAAAGGCTAAGTAAGAAAGAAGTCAAGCCAGGATCTGACAATGACAAAAGGGCTTTTCCTTACGCCTGTAGTTTTTTTTTTTTTCTACTTTTGATTAATGAGATTTGGTTTAATAATTACACTAATCGCCTTGTCTATACTCTGTTGTTTCTCAGAGCTACAAGCTTCTACTACAGGTAAAATCTGGCTCAGGTGAATAAAGCTTAGTTATGACCTCTGGCTGTGTCTGACAGCCGCCACGTGTTAACTGAAAAGAGTGAAAGAGCTTTTTTTCCGCTCTGTCAGTCACAACACGCCCCTTAGCACCCCAAGCTTAAGATCTGGTGCCACACAGAGGTGTGACAGCTTCTACCACAGGCAAAAAGATCAGATCACAGTGCTAATACACTAACACTGTAATCCTA